GATTATAATTTCGTTCACAGTCACATGTGATGAATTTTGAGACATGTTAGCCAAAATAATTTTAAAAACAGCTGATTATTTCTCCCTTGGCAATCGACTCTTCACAGTAAAAATTATAGGATGAGTATCTAATTACTAAAATGTTAGAAGGAAAAACGTTTCATAACTTAATGTTTAAAAATGTTGTTGACTACACTGGTAAACACTGGTATGAGAATATAGATGAAAAACCATCCGAATCAGAGCCAGTCCCGCGTCTTTGTAATATGAAGACAATAACTGTTGCCCCACGTTCTTTGGGTCACACTCATTTAGTTTCCTCATTATTCGGTTTTGCTACGTCTCAGTAATTCAAATTAACTATTATTTATCACACTAGTATATACAAGACACAGTGCTGGCTGCTCACGACTAAGGAGGACGATGTGAGTCCTGTTCTAAAGGAACTTGGAACATGTTAGGTAAGGAGGGGAAAAATTAACTAAAAATGTTGAATGACTTGCTGAGAAAAAACCCCTAAATCAAGACTCCAGCACATGATATGAGGATGTTTACACACCACCTTCAAATTGTTTACTGCATACAGTAAGTAATTATTTTGCTCTTATAAAATGTGCTGTGGTACATGAAGTGGGTCACCTTTTCCTAATTTTCATTAGCTCATTTCTCATTAGTGAGAAACTGGTTCTTTAGGAAATGTGATCGCAGAATGGTAAAGTTCTACCAAATTCCCTGTTGGAAAAGCATGGAGTTCGTGGCCTTAAAATTTTCAACTTTATTTTCTGCTTTCATTTAAGCGTTTATCCACGCATTCAAGTGGAAGGACAGAACACGGGTCTTTAAGATGGGCTTCCAAACAGGCTTGGTTTCCTTAATATTTTTGTTGCGTTTTCCAAGACAAGAGATTCTGTCTCTCAAGATTGATGTTTTGATCTGATATTAAAAGTAACATCTAGCATGTGATTTAATTTTCAGTATCATTATGATGTTTTTATTTTTCTTATACAACAGCAAATGCGTTTCGGAATAGAATTTACCGTTCTGAAATAAATTATGGAAACCATCTCTAATCCCCTAATCACAATTTACTTGTTGAATTAAGGACACGGTGCCTCCTGGAAACACCACAATTTCAGGAAGGAGCTTATTGCATTGGAAATATTAGACTGAGGAACTGGCCATAGGGTAATTAATTCTGCTCTTTTCTACTTAGTTTCCATTTTGTTCCCTATTTCTCTCTGTACGACACTCTGAGATCATCCATAGCGTTCCACTTTCCACCTTGTCTTTCTCTGTGCCTGTGGATGTCATATATTTCATTATTTCTGTCAGAAATTATATCAGAAAGAAAACTTCCTTTTTCTTCTCTACAGTCCTTCTGCTAATATATTTACTATTACATTCATAGTAAGAAAAAATGTAGAGAAACTTAGAATAATCACTCACATTGTGTTGTCCTCAAACCCCTATTTACCATGGAGTTAGACAAGGTCAATTCTCCCTACAAGTACGTAGCACATATTTTATTGGGGTCCTTCATGCACCGAGGATGACCTACCGGAATGAAGACAATGACATAGGTATAAGAAGGAGCCCTTACCTGAGGTCTTGGGATGGTTCTGCTCTGATGTGAGGGGTCTCCACCGAGTGCCCAAACACTGCTCCTTCTGTCCCTGGGGTAGCAAGAACAGGTAGCAGTCAGTTAAACCAAGTTCAAAGACACAGTGAGTTTCATCTCTATTTTTAGGCATCCATTATTCTTCTAAAAAGGGAACAAACTGAAAACATAGAGCATAGAAAATGAGAAAAATTGGAAGAAAATGCAAAATCATGAAGAGTCAAAGTTCATAAATTCTAAATGTCCCTATGTTAACTGCTCTTAAAATTTTATTTTGTATGCAAGTTTAGATAGAGAATTCCCACCCTCTGGTCAAAGACCAAAAGAACTCTGCTTCCCCTGCCATACTCTTTTGTTGTGTGAATTTGAAGGAGTCACAATACTCAGTTTTGTTTTTTCAATAGAAGGTCATTAATGAAAACGCAGAGTGTGAGCTCCAGTGTGGGACCTATCAGGTATAGAAAGACATAAGTCTCACAGGGGATTTAGCAATCCTCTCACGCACAGCTCCCACCTTTGATTATAATAAACATCAAATGACAGAGAATGTGTCAAGTCACTTTGACCTGCCTGGAGTTAAAGCAAAACCATGAATTGCTTCACTTTATTTTATTCTAGAAGGTTCTATATGGGGTCATAGTTTTCT